CTGTGTTTTCCATACTTTACACAGATATTTCCTGAAAATACTCTATGAATATGAGTTGAGGTGATCTTACCCGGCGGCGTCTAAAGCGCGGTGTCCAGCTCACTCCAAAAACATTTTAGGTAACTTAAGATAAAACGAGTCAAACAATGAAGAATAAACTAGCGAGCCGCACATCGGCGTGAGGAGGAAAATGTCGTTTTCTTAAGTTTCGAATCGACACGAAAGGTAAATAAATAGTAAAGAGTTTAATGAAAATGTTTCGGTCTGTCCTGCTTCGCTCCTCCCAATCCAAAAGCGGCACCTTCTTCTTCAAAACCGAGTCTCATTCGCGCTCGAGACGCGGGATTTCAATCCGTCCCGCTCACGCGACCAGCGCGCGCTTATTCCATATCTCCTGTCAAAGAGACTCTTGTGATCCAGCAGATGAAACCTAACCCTGCGCCAAAAAATAAGCTTTCAAGCGGTAAAGTCAGGCTCTTCCGTCACTCTGTGGTTTTCAGTCCATTTAATTCTTTTCCCCCTCTTTTTTTTCTCTCAGGTTGATCCCTCCCACTTCTGGCACAGTTTCACCCTAGTACTTTCATTCAAGCGAGTGAACTAGTGTTGGGAAGTCCGAATCATTTTAGCGAATCGGTTCTTTTGAACAGTTCATTTCAAAGAACCGGATTCAATGATTCTTTTACGTCATCGCACGGTTCCTGGCACCCGGTGTGGCACATTAAAAGGTACCGATTAAGCCACACACACACACAGGCCTATTTCCGATTAGTTTCGTTAATAAAAGTAATAATAGGCTATAAATACGTTTCCATAATCCAAGACTCCTAGTTCAATTTGTTGCAGCCGTGATTCATCTTATAAACAAATATTTAGAATCGAAATATCATTTGCGGCATTGAATTGCTTATTGTGAACCACTTCAAATAATTCTTTAAAAAGATTCGACTCAAATAATGATTCATTCCAGTGAATTCCAAGAAACTTCAACGCAGTCACGCTGTTTCTATGCATAGATCTGGATAAAGCTTTATTAGTGAACACTTCACTGAGCAGAGTATGTCAAACAAAAATCTGCCCCCTTAATTCTTCAAAAGCCAACCAATCATCAGTCACTGAATGTCCTCATTTGCAAATAAGGATTCTTTCTCATAAAACTAGGTGAGGCTAAGTAGTTCACCTTTCTTAAAGGGACATGCAGTAGTATGCCGCTGTGATGGAGTGATTACAGAAACAGGCAAGACACAACAGGCACACATGGGTGTGGGAAGAGAGCGAGAGTAGTTTGGGGTCTTGATGCAATAATCCCACATAATATTTCTAAGTACAAAGGTGATCTTTTCTTAGAATCGCAGTTTAAATTATTTAATTTGTTGCTCTTAAATGAATCATTGCATATTTTAAGACCCTATAAAAAGCTAATTTGCATGCATCAGCTCAAATCTCTTCTCATTGCTAATCTCATGCATTGACCTCTAGGGAGCACTATTTCTTTTGCAGTGACAAACATCATGGATACACACTGAAAGAGCCACTCTACCTTCTGGTCTGTACTGGGCAATGATGGTCACCGTCTGTCCAGCCCTCTTCAGTGCAGCAGCAGCCTGCTCATGGGTAGCATTGCGCAGGTTTACACCATTCACCTGAGACAATACCATGGTAACAGATTAAAACAACAACCCACACACACTCACGCAAATCACATGACGTAATGTCAGCTCTAAGACATCATACCAATTTAAAGAGCAGATTGTATTAGGAATCATAAAAAAACAAATCCATATAATATACACTAAAGAGTATTTGAAGAGTTTGGTTCCAAAACGCTATAAATCCATTTTGATTAATTTGAGTAAAAATGTTAGGGTTTCTTTACCAAGAAAGTGGCAAGATGAAAACCACTATTTTCTGTTTCAAACTTTCACATAGCATCTTTAGGTTATAATAACATTAAAAATTAAAATCCAGATTTTGACTTTTAAAGATTTATTATAAAATGTTATTATTTTTTTCCCAACATGCAACAAATCCATTGAATCAATCAGATACATTTCTGAAGGATCATGTGACACTTAAAACTGGAATAGTGACTGCTGAAAATTCAGCTTTGCCATCTCAGGAATAAATTACATTTGATAAAATATTTATAAAATATATTAAAATTAAAAATGCTTATTTTGAATTGTAATAATATTTCACAATATTTCTGTTTTTACTGTATGTTTGAATAAATAAATGCAGCCTTAGTGAACATAAGACTATGGAAGCTTGTTTCCACCATGGTATAAAATATTTATAAAATATATTAAAATTAAAAATGCTTATTTTGAATTGTAATAATATTTCACAATATTTCTGTTTTTACTGTATGTTTGAATAAATAAATGCAGCCTTAGTGAACATAAGACTATGGAAGCTTGTTTCCACCATGGGATAAAAAAAAAAGTTGGAACTGGGAGATAAAACCATGGTGGAAACTGGCAAAACAATTCTTGTCATTTTAATGCTGTCCATCTTCACTATTTGAACTTGAGTGTCACGGACAGTTACTGACCGACAGGATGCGGTCTCCTCTCCTCAGCTCTCCGCTCAGGTCGGCTGGCCCACCTGCCAAAATGAAAGACACGAAGATGCCCTCTCCATCCTCACCGCCCACAATGTTGAATCCCAAACCTGTGGAACCCTTGTGCAGCAGGATCTTCCGCGGCTCCCTGCCAAGCAGAACGACAGTGTTAAAGATCAGGATGGACTCGGACCACCACAGCAGCAGGGAGAGGATGAAAGACAAGACATATATTTGCAATAAAAAAAATTACACTGTTGACCCATCCCTTACACCTTAACCCAACCTTAAAGCTACCCAAACCACCTAACGTAACCCATATCCCACCTCAATAGCAGCAAAAGTGTTTTACAATACAATATGAACACAATAAATACACTGTACTTATTTTTTGATGTAGGTACATAGTAAAGGCCACTTAATATAAAGTGGGACCGTTTTTTTACCTCTGATGCACTGCAATGTCTGAACTGTCCTGAGTACATCCTGAGCGTCTTCAACAGCCAGCACCTGACGCGTCTTCTTCTTCTTCTTGCTTTATGGCGGATCGTAGACTTATAAGTGCATTACCGCCACCTATCTCTCAAGTGGACCATTGACACTCCTAATTGAGATTGTAAATAGAGTGTCAATGGTCCATGTGAGAGATAGGTGGCGGTAATGCACTTATAAGTCTGCGATCCGCCGTAAAGCAAGAAGAAGAAGAAGACATGTCAGGCGCCGACTGTTGAACACGCTCAGGACGCGCTCAGGACCGTTCGGACATTGCGGTGAAAATCAGAGGTAAAAAACGATATAAATACTGTTCAGTTTCTTGCACAGACCGATAGTTTTGTGTCTTTACACATCAATGTATCATCACGAGCCGCAGGGTTTAATTTGGTTTTGTTTGTGTATGTTTTTTTGACTCTCAAAGCCGTGATTCC